GGGTAATAACTCACTCTGTTTCTCTGTTTCTTGCTAAGGAAATGCAAAGAAACACAGAAACAGAAACATAAGGGTTAGAAGGGTGTTCCCAGGCCATCTAATCTAACCCCTGGCTCCATCTGGCTCCGCTCACGACATGCCTCCCATGTACATGTCCAACCTATCCTTAAACACACTCACCAATAGCCATCTCCCATGGAAGCCCATTCTAACCATCAGGAAGTACTTCCTGGCATCCACCCTAAATCTTGGTTTCCTGAGCTTTGCCTGTTTCCTAGAATGAGTCATAGCCCTAAGAAAACTCGATCATGGAAACTGCTTTTTTTTTTCTTTGAAAAAAAGAGGTATGAATACCAGGCATTTCAAATTCAAGGCATGCATGTGTGTACACGTGTCCAGCATATCCGGTATAAGTGAAGGCGAAAAGGACCATCAATTGCAAGGAAAGGCAAAACAAAGAACTAGAATGGCTCAGGAGGCGTGAGATGATGGTTTATAATTATATAGGAATCCAACGAACATAAGATGCCCTAATTAAAGATATAGCATTTTTGCAGGAAATAAACCTGCAATTACAATGATTAAGCATCAAGAGTTGTGACCAAGAAACAAATGTTGAATTATTGTATAATGTATCTCCAGACTAATTTTTTTCAGCTAATCTCTGTAGCTCACCATATTTTTAGCCAACTGAGTACTGTTTGCTTTGCACTTCTCAAATTAGTTGGGCTTGTCTAGATCCCTGAGGTAAGATAAACAGTTGGATAAACTTGAAGTAGATGTCAGAGAACCTGCAACAGATTTCACAGAATCATAGAATAGTAGAGTTGGAAGAGTTACTATTCCAACTCCAATAGTAGAGTTGGAATTCAGCCACTGGGTCCAACCCCCTGCTGAATTACACCATTCCATTAGATGACTGTCCAAATGCTTCTTGAATGTCTCCAGTGAGGGAGAGCCTACAACTTCCCCAGGTGATAAGTTCCATTGTCTTACTGCTCTGACAATGAGGAGATTCTTCCTGGTGTCTAGCCTAGATCTGTTGTACGTGTAGTACTTGCAGAGTGCCATCATATTCCCCTCAGTCTTCTCTTCCTGCAGCTGAACATGCCTAATTCTCTCAATCCTTCCTCACAGGGCTTTGCCTCCAGTCCCTGAATCATACTGGTTGCTCTTCTGTATCCTTTCCAGCCTTTTTTTCTCTTTTTAAAACTTAGATGCCAGGATTGGGCACAGTCCTCCAAGTGTGGTCTGACTAGTGCTGGCACTTTGGCAAAGGCTTGGCTAAAGTCTACATTTAAATAGGTCAGATTTTAATGGATCTGATCTTTCTTCAGGTCATGTGAATTCACAGTCAGGCAGACAAATTCCCATTTGCAGGGGTGGAGAGTTGCGTTAATTTGCATTAATGCATTAATGCTAATACACAGTGTTACAAAAGCCAGAGAGGGAGGCTATGGGATTAGGGTGGGGGGTGGGGAGTGGGTGGGAGAGCAATTAGTGCAGAAGAGGGAGATATGTGGTTGGGAAGACATCTAGCCAGGCAATTCTCTCAGGGTCCTGTTCTTAAATGCCCATAATTTAATAGTGGGTGAGACAGCCAAGCTGGCAAGTATTGCCAAAACCTGGGTGAGTGAACAGGGGAGGGTTAGCTGACTATAGCTGAGCTTAAACCAAGTTGCAAAGTCTTTTATCAGCCTTGCCTGGGAGTTAGAATTATGAAAACACTAAGGATGAGACAATGACAACCAGAAGCAGTTGATATTTGATAGAGTAGGGAGAAAGGATGCTTTTCACTGCTTAAGAACACTGTTTCCCTCCCTCTTTCAGTGTAAAATTGTGAAAAATCTTTAAGAGCAACTATGAATCTGTAGTCTTCCAAAATTAGTTTGAGTATTGCATTTTCTGAGAACGTTCATACTTATGATTCTATTTGCTAGGCATTTGCAGGATAACATATCTTGTATCTGCTGTAATTTAGATTCTAATATCATAATAGTTATATCAGGTGAGATACTGGCAGCACAGCATTGAAATTTTCTTGGGTGAGGTTCAGTTGGTACAGCTTGAGGATGTTAATAAGAGGTTTGGACAGTTCCATGTAAGCTCATATCTACTGGATCCTTTCCCTTCTTGGCTTGTAAAATTTTCAGGGAGGAACAAGCCAGCTGGGTCATAAAAATGTTTCATGCTTCCTTGTGAGATGGAGTCATCCTGTGCTACCTGATATGCATGGTGGAGAGACCACTCCAAAAGAAACCCTTCTGGACTCAAAGGATCTCTACAGTTTTGGGTTGGTAGCAGTCAACCAACTGCAGCTGCTCTTAGATAGCGATGATTAGCTGGACATAATTCAGTCAGGGTTCAGGCTATCTTTTAGCATAGACACTGGTATAGTCAGCCTGTGTGATGACCTATGCTGGGAGAGAGATGAGGGAAGGAGGATAGTTCTGGATATCTCAGCTACCTTCAGTCCATCAACCATGGTGTCTTCCTGGGGTAGTTGCCTGAGTTGGGACTGCAGGGTATTCCCCTTCAGTGATTCTGTTCCTACTTGGATGTTTGCTTCCAGAAGGTGGTGCTTAGGAATACTGCTAGGCCCCATGGATTTTCCAATATAGATTCTTTAGGGATCATTTTGTTCCCCCATGCTATTAAACATCTGCATGAAACCACTGAGTAGGGGCATCTGGAATTTTGGCAAGCACTGCAATAAGTAAACTGATGGCCTGCAGTTCCATTACACCTCACAGTGTGGACAACTTGTGCACCCCAGATGTTTTGTCTGATCTCTCCCATTATGTCACACCATTTGTTAGGATGGAAAGTGTAGGCCCAAACTTGTGGAAGGTCATTTCTGTTCTATAGTTTGCTTCTAACCAGCTGTGAAGAATTTGAGACATAGAAACATAGAAACATAGAAACAGAGCGAGTCAGAAGGGGTCTCCCTGGCCATCTAGTCTGACCTCCAGCACCAGCCAGCTCTGCTCACGACATGCCCACCATGTGGACGTCCAGCCTATCCTTGAACACCCCACCGATGGGGCCTTAACGACCTCTTGTGGAAGCCCATTCCACACCCTCGGGGTCCTGACTGTCAGGAAGTGCTTCCTGGCATCCAAATGGAACCTTGGCTCCCTGAGCTTTGCTCCGTTGGAGCGTGTCCTGCCTTCCTCTGCAGGGGAGAACAGGTCTCTACCCATCGCCATGTGACATCCCCTCACATATCTGTATGTCCCCAACATATCCCCTCCAAGTCTCCTCTTCTCCAGGCTGAAGAGACCCAGTTCCCTCAGTCTCGCCTCATACAGCATCCCCTGCAAACCGGCCACCAACTTTGTGTCCCTACGCTGCACTGACTCTAACCTGGCTATATCCTTACTGTAATGAGGGGCCCAAAACTGAGCACAATACCCCAGTTGCGGGTGCACCAGAGTCGTGTAGAGTGGTAGTAATACCTCTCTTGATCAAGAAGCCACACTTCTGGCTATGCAACCAAGGGTGGCGTTCGCCCTCTTGACTACCGCATCACTCTGCTGACTCATGTTTAGCCTGCAGTCAACCAGCACCCCAAGGTCCCTTTCACAAGTGCTGCTCCCCAGCCACTTTTCACCTAACCTGTACTTATGACAGCTATTCCTATGCCCCAAGTGCAAGACCTTGCACTTTTCCACATTGAACGCCATCCTGTTGTCTCCTGCCCACTTCCATAGTCTGTCCAGATCCTTTTGGATCTGGAGTACCTGCTCCTCAGTTGTGGCCGCTGCTCTAGTTTAAGTGTCATCTGCGAATTTGATCAGCAGACTGTTCACCCCTTCTTCCATGTCGTTAATGAAAAGATTAAACAGGATCAGCCCCAGGACAGAGTCCTGGGGGACCCTGCTTGTCACTGGCCGCCATCCTGATGATTCCCCGCTAATGGTTACCTTCCGCTTTCAGTCAGTCAACCATGCCCTAATCCACCGGACAGTGCTTTGGTGTATCCCAAAACTCCTCAGTTTCTCCACCAGGATATCATGGGGCACTTTGTCAAAGGCCTTGCTGAAATCCAGGTATACCACATCCACTGCATCCCCTCCAGCTAGCCATCTCGAAACCTTGCCATAGAATTCTGCAAGGTTTGTCTGGCAGGACCTGTTTTTGCAGAAGCTGTGTTGTGTGGCTGTCAGCCTCCCTTCCCTGTCTAGCATCACTAGATCTCTCCCTATTATTAGCCTTTCAATTGTTTTTCCTACAATGGACATAAGGCTAACCAGTCTATAATTCCCCATGTCCCTTCTACTACCCTTTTTGAAAATTGGGACCACTGATGCCACCCTCCAGTCCTCCGGAACTTCACCCGTTCTCCACTAGGTCTCAAAAATGGAGGCCAGCGGGCGTGAGAGAACCCCTGCCAACTCTCTAAGTACTCTCGGGTGTAACCCGTCAGGGCCTGGCGCCTTTGTAATGTCCAACACCCTGAGGAGCCCCTCGACTTCAAGGGGGATGACTCTAATCTGTGCGCCTAAGTCCCCAGCCTCATCTAATCTCCCATGCGGATATCCCCCGTCCTGCTTTGGGGAGAACACAGAGGCAAAATACTCATTTAGCATCTGTGCCTGTTCCCTCATATCAGTCATTGGATCTCCTTCCTCCTTATTTAGTGGTCCCACCACTTGTCTCCCCTTCCTCTTTCTATTTACATTCTGAAAGAAGCCCTTTTGTTGCTCTTGATATTCTTGGTAAGTCTCAGCTCGTAATCAACCTTAGCCTTGCGAAGAATCCTTCTGCAACGGGCCTCCTCCTCCCGGTATACCCTTTTGTCTATTTGCCCCAGTACCCATTTCCTATGGAGGTTCCTCTTTCATCTAATCCCTCTAACTACCTCCTTTTGCATCCATGGCGGCACTCTCCTCCACCTCCCCACCTTACTGACTAGAGGTATCGTCAAGGCTTGTGCCTCCAAAACCTCCCTTTTGAGTGCTATCCACCCCTCCTCAACTTGCTTACCTTCCAGTAACCTATCCCAGGAGACTTTCCCCAGTCTGGCCTTCAGTTGGCCAAAGTTGGCCCTCTTGAAGTCCCAGCTTCTAGTGCTCGACCTGCTGCACGTCCCCAGTCCCCTGATCTCAAAGCAAAGGATGGAGTGATCACTCGCATCCAGAGCTCCCCTAATCTGTACTTCATCTATCAGCTCCTCCCTATTGATCAAGACCAAGTCAAGATGTTTCCCCCCCTCATCACCTTTCGGACCCTCTGTATGAAAAACCCTCCCTCTATAGCTTCTAGGAAGCGACATGACCTGGCTGTCACCACCGAGTGAGTCTCCCAACAGAAATAAGCTCTTTCTTTTTGATAGTAATGAGACTTGATATCCTCCAGTGTTCATCTCTTTCTAGACCTCATCCCTTCCCCACCAAAGAAAAATGCTAATGTTCAGCCGGATCCTTCAGAATCTCTGGGTTCACTACATCATGATATACCATACACACACATACACACATATGCTGATGACTTGAGTTCACTGAAGTATACCAGATATCCTCTGTCATGTGTTTTATTATCTTGACCTCAATCCATCCATTCTCCTTGCTTATGTTTCTTTACCTCCAGTTCATTTACCTCTAGTTCATCTGGTCACAGTTTGATTCATGAGAAAGATGGAGACTGAAGTTTGCACTTAATAATTCCACTTTCTTTGCAGCATCTTTCTTTTAACAGTTGGCTTTTTCCACTGAATAGTACAGCTGAACAAAAATAGCAGGTATTATGAGGGAGAATCTATTATTGAACAGCTAATAGAATGACATGAATTTGAAAGTATTGCTCTGCTACTTTTTCAAGTCTTGTATATTAATCCCAAAACCCACCAAGACAGACGCAATGTTACATTTCCAGGAACTCCTTCAGGACCTGAGTTACTAGTATGCTACATGGATGTTCTCAGGTAAGGAACTTCGCAATTCCTGAAACTGCCTGATCTAACTTGGGAAAATAAGGCCATACTAAAAATATTCCATAGAAGGTTCATATGATGAAATTGAGGGGAAGGGGCAGTATCAGAGTCAAAGATACCCTGAAATGTCTCACTTCAGTTTGCATGCTACATGTGACATCCTGTATGTGAAAACATACTTATCCTTAAACTTTTTCTTCCTAAGCATGACTCTTTCTACCCCTTGGTCTGTCTGGTTTTTCCTCAGAAAATATTCCTTATTTCCTCACAGCTCCCCCCCCCCAACTTTTTTTGTTTTATTTTGTTTTGTTTTCTTCTAGCATGTGCCCTTTTTCATCTTGTGTCACTCCTATGAATTGTTCAATAATATTTCTAGATCACCACATCTCTTATACCTTCAGAAGCATTTTCAGTCCATGAAAACTCACTGACTTAATCTTGTTGGAATCATGTTTCAAAGTTTGTAACAAAAATGTTGCACTCATTGAATTTATCTGAGCTGTAAAATTCAGAATGCATTTCTTGCTTTTACTCATGACATCCTCCTCCCTCCACCTACACATATTTTCAGTCAGTTATTTCCTCTAAGTCAGAACCAAACCCATGATATCCAAGTACTTTATCCACTGAAAAATGACATTTGTTCATAATACAGGACAATAACATATTGACCATACTGTCTTGTATTCCGCTGTGCTAAATGTCCTAATGTTTTCTTCAGAAGCATTTATTATCTGTTGGAAGAAGGCTATGGCTAATTCCTTTGTATGGCTGGGTGGTTCTCAGTAAACCTCTTCCATGATTTTTTCTCCAGTCTGTTTATCTTTCCCTGTTCCAGATGGGTCACTGTTGCAAGAAATATAGCATATCTTTGTTGCAGCTTAAAAACTTACATGTGGAATCTATGCTACACTAAATGGTTTAATCGAATAAACTGCCACGAGATACTCTGGGACCATCAGAAGCTTAGCTACAAAAAAGAAAGTGAGAAAGAGAGAGAGAATTTCTAACACATTGAATGTTCATAACTGCTTCCGCTCATAGTAGCTATGAAGAGTAGTCAGCCCTGAACTTCGGCAATTCAAGCAGAGCCAATCAGTGATAGAGGTGGTACCAGGAGATGAATCCAACCTGGATTTATTTTGGGGAATGTTGGACTAAATGTTTATCAATGGTAACTATCAAGGGGAAATAGAAGGGGAACAATTTGGGGGAAATAGTCTTCAAAATGTTTCAGGGAACTTAAGCACTTGTGATGTGGTTGACTGTCTTCTTTCCTGTAAAGAAGGAAGAGTTCCTGATGTTGTCCTTGACTGAAGGCTGCAATTTCCCTCTTCCCAGAATATGTGCCCCTGCCCATGTGAATGGGTCAGCATTGTTTTTCAGGAGAGGCGCAGGGACAGGGGCAGGGGAGCATTTTGCTAGGCCCCAGATCAGATCTATACAGACTGGTGTGGCTGTGTCTCACCATTAGACAACTTTTCTTGCTTCTGCCTGGGGCAGAAAAAGCAGTATTTATACTTTCTTCCTTTCCTTAGTTGTCTTCCTGCAGCATGTAAGATGTCAGAAAAATCTCCCAAAGCAGGCTTTTCCAGTGTCTTATCTCCTGCACCACTAGCATCCTGCTTTCAATGCATCTCCATCAAAGGACACTTCTGTTGTCCTAGGAGACTATCAAAACCGAAGTCCCAGCCTACCTGAGGAGCTTGATGACTCCAGCATCATTCCTTCTCCTGCAGACCCTCAGAAATTGCTTCTCCGTCAGGCAATTGCCTTGCTGTGAGAATTTCCTGCCTGGCTTGGACCAAGCTATTGTTTTTAGAACTCCTAACTTTGCTTACAGTTTTGGAATCTGGCCCCTGGCAATTTAAGATGACTCACCTGTTTCCACACCAACTGAACTGACATCTTTCTGGATGTCTAAATGTCATTCCTTGGAGGAGCTGTCACTTTGCCAAGCATCTGATAGTTCTGAATACTGATCCTCTAACTTAACTACACTCATGTACTGTACTCAAGTAATGCCCAGTAGATTGCTGCTGCCTTCTTGTCCTTAAACTTCCAGCTCTTGTACACTCTGCATGTGCTTTACACCAGTGAAAACAAATCCATCCTTGCTTTCTTTTGCAAGCATAGAACAGTAGATATAGAAAGGGTCAGAAGGCCATCGGGTCAGTGCAGGACTCCAAGTTAAACCATCCCTCCCAGATGTCTATCCGTTTGTATCTTGAATGTTTCTGGTGTGGGGGAGCCCACAACCTTCCGAGGTCATTGGTTCCATTGTCATACTGTTCTAACAGTTAGGATTTATTTTTCCCTGCTATCTAGCTGGTATCTCTTTTCCTGTAACTTGAGTCCATTATTCCATGTCCTGCTCTCTGGGGAGGATCAGCAAGAGTTCCTATCATTGCTTTTTGTGGCATCCTTTCAGGTATGTGAGGGGTGCTATCATATACCCCCTCAGTCTTCTCTTCTAAAGGCTAAACATGCCCACTTCTTTCCATTTCTCCTCATAGGGTTTCCAGTCCCTGAATCATCCATTTTGCCCTCCTGTGAACCTTTTCCAGATTGTCTGCATCTTTCCTAAATTGTGGTGCCCAGAACTGGACACAGGACTCCAGATGAGACCTAAAAAGTGCTGAGTAAAGGAGAACTAGTACTTCATGGGATTTGGAAGTGATCCTTCAACTAATGCAGCCTAAAATAGCATGTGTCCTTTTTGCAGCCACATCACATTGTAGTTTCATATTTAGCTTGTGATCTACAACAATTCTGAGAGCCTTCTCACTTGGCAGTATTGTTGAGCCAAGTATTCCTCATTTTGTAGCAATGTATTTGGTTTCTTTTTCCTAGGCACAGAACTTGGCATTTGTCCCTATTGAATTTCGTTCTGTTATTTTCAGCCTAGCAGTCCAACCTATCAAGATCACCTTGAATCATATTTCTCTCTATCCCACCAAGGTGTGTCATCTGCAGATCTGATAATCATTCCCTGCACTTCCTCATCCAAATCATTAATAAAAGCACTGAAGAGCATTGAACCCCACTTTTTACCTCTCCCCAGTTTGAGAAGGTGCTATTGATGAGCATTCTTTGAGTCCAATTCTGTAGCCAATTGTGGATCCATCTATCCCACTTTTACCTAGTTTGCTAATCATGGGGCACTTTGTCAAAAGCTTTGCTGAAGTCACAATGGATGATGTCCACAGCATCTCCACAGTCCATCAGGGAGGTTACCCTATCAAAATAATGTAATCAGTTTAGTCTGGCAGGATCTGTTCTTGAGGAATCCATGTTGGCTTTTAGTGATCAATGCATTGTTTTTCACATGTTTACTAACTGACTGCTTTATAATCTGGTCCAGCGTTTTCCCAGGGATTGACATCAAACTCACTAGTCTGTATTCCCTTGGTTCTTCTTTTTTCCCTTTCTTGAAGTCAGAGACAACTTTAACCCTCCTCCAGTCATCTGGCACTTCCCCTGTACTCCATGATTTCTCAAAGGTAATAGATAGTCATTCTGAAAGTTCTTTGACCAGCTCCTTTATGACTCTAGGACAGAGTTCATTGAACCCAAGAGATTTGCATTCATTCAACCCAATTAGATGGTCCTTGACCATTTCCCTATCAATCTTGAGCTGCCAACCTGCTCCTTCACCTTGTACTTCCTTTTCCTTAGCAAGGTCATAGAACTTATTTTGAGAGAAGACTGAGCCAAAGTAAGAATTCAGCACTTCTGCCTTTTCTTTGTCACCCTTTCCTTTCCTTGAATCCTCATTTCTTCCCTGCTTATTTTAGTATGGACTGAAGAAGACTTTTAATTGCTTTTAGCATCCCTTGCTAGCCTCAGTGCATTCCTGGGTGCCATCCCTGGGATTTCTGATGCCATCCCTGGGATTCCTTGCCACATGTCTATATTCTTCCTTTGTTGCATGGCCTTCCTTCCATTTCATATGCATGCCCTTTTTTGTTATCAGATCATCTCTAAGCTTCTTTTGAAGTCACTTGGGATTCTTCTGCTGTCTTCTTCTCTTCTTTCCTTGTTGGAATTGTTTGTAATTGTGCCTTTAGAATTTCCTGAAATTCCCAGAAATCTTGGACTCCTTTTCTCATTAATGT